GTCTTCCACTGGACTTAGGACTAGAGATATAATTATCAATGAATCATATTTACCATCTAATTTTATTTTTTATTTTTATTTTATTTTTATTTTTATTTTATTTTTATTTTTATTTTTTTTTTTATTTTTTTTTTGAGACGGAGTTTCACTCATGTTACCCAGGCTGGAGTGCAATGGCGCGATCTCGGCTCACCGCTACCTCCGCCTCCTGGGTTCAGGCAATTCTCCTGCCTCAGCCTCCTGAGTAGCTGGGATTACAGGCACGCGCCACTATGCCCAGCTAATTTTTTTGTATTTTTAGTAGAGACGGGGTTTCACCATGTTGACCTGGATGGTCTCGATCTCTTGACCTCGTGATCCGCCCGCCTCGGCCTCCCAAAGTGCTGGGATTACAGGCTTGAGCCACCGCGCCTGGCCCATACCATCTAATTTTAAAAGCACATACGTATATACAAACATAATTAGAAATGAATAAAATACATTTGAAAATTGGGTACCATGTTAATAAAGCAGGCATTCATTCAGTCTGGAATAGGTGGTATAAAATTTGGAGATGAAGAGAAGAAAGCGAAGGTAAAGGAATAAATATTGACAGAAAGAATGCAGAATATTTAATAGAAGAGGTGATGTGACCTACTCAACGCAACGTTGCAGAAAATTGGATGAATGAACCAGTGAATGAATGATTATTGCATTAAATAATTAGAAATTTTACTGTACAATTATAGAAAATAGAGGGATTTTAGGCAGTTGAAAAATGAGACAATTTACAAAAACCAGGGATTCAAATCTTTCAAGCCATGAGAAAATGACTTCCTTATTTTTAGAGGGCTCTTTGAAGAAAGACTTTGAAGTATGCATTCTTCAGAACTTTGCTGTTGAGTACAAACCTGTCCATTTCCCCAGACCTAAGCTGTCTCTTTTGGTTTTTCTGGCTCTGGGCCTACTTCAGGGGTGTGGATATACACTGGACAGATGGTTACATCAACCCCTGGTTGATTATGCCTGTTTTAAGAATTGACAAATGGTCAGTTTGACCTTGAAATTTTGAATGTAGGCATTGCCCTGGACACAGAAGACAAGCCCATGTTTAAACAGTCACTCATGCATTCATTCACTTATGCATTATGCTTTCATCTGAAATGGAGCAAACCCTTCTAGGGAAGAGGGACCATGCTCAATTTTAGTTATATTTCATTTTAGCACACACTTTCCTTAGAGTAGAAATTTTCACATTAGCAATAAGCAGCTTTTTATAGTCCATATAGAGAAGACATCAGTAAATACAATGACTCTTTTTTCCCTTCTCTTGCTGTTTATTTATTTATGTATGTACTAACAGAATCCATTATTAACTGAGACTTTTATGTGGCCTTTCCCCAAATACTGCAGATGAGAGCATGTAATTTAGCCTTGGTCTATCAGACCGTATCATTTTCCTTGGCCTCATTGATTGGTTTAGGAAAAGACAATGTCCCATTTTTGCTGGGACAACCAAAATCCCCCTAGGGCACATTCTCTTGACCTATTATTGCTAGAGGTTATTTTGCTTTTTGGCTCCCAAAAGCTAATATGAAACGTTAAGTTGTCGTAGGTGTCATTTTTGCTACATGCAGAGAATCTGCCTGAGAAGAAAGCCAACATATGTGAAAGCAGAGACAAGAGACAGAGAAATGAATAAGGATAGAGATGTATATACGTATATACATACAATATATACGTATGTTGAGAGAGAAAGAGAGAGAGAGAGAGAAAGTCCTGTTCTAGCCATGTACCCTATATTGAGATTTCACCTTTGTACCTGTTTCCATTTTGCTTAATTTAGTTTAAGCTGAATTTCATTCATTGCAAGATTCTTGAAAAATGCAACACCTTACAGCTACTTTGATAATAGAAACAAAACTAACTCACCGTTTTTTCTTTACCTGGTAATTATAAGGTGGTAGCATTTTCTGATATTTAGCATCTTAGGAAAGGGAAATTTAAAATAGCATATTTTTAGTTTTGGTCTCTATGGCTATATTTTGGATCAACATAATTTCAAAATAAATTTGGAAAAATATAATAGATTTTAATTAGAGCTTGTATTATATTTGGCATATAATTCTTAAAGCGTTTTCCCATGATTGTGAATTTTATGAAATTCTGATCAATCCTTAAGATTAGTATTGGGATTAGCAGTTAATAACTGGAACAGTCAAATGTGGAAAAGAATAGCTGTGCTTTAGAAAAAAGATAGTCATGCAAATATTGATTGAAATAACATTAACAAAATTTTAAAGAATAATGAAAAATAGGAGAAGCCTGATAATCAAGGAAAGATTTATATATTGCTTTAGATCTGTATGAGCTATGCTTATTTTATTTTAATTGTGGAATTATGATGAAATAAAAAAAGAGAAACAGAATCCAACAAAGACCTAGAAAACAAGAAGCAGAGGTTTAAGATCACTCTTAGAAATTTCAAAGTTGCAACACAGCTCTTTGGAAGAACCATTGATTCATCACTGGCATACTGAAGTCTGTGGCTGGAGTAAAGGGGACCTTGGGTATTGCAAAACTGAAGGCCAAGATGGACATGTAGATTAAGTCAGCAGCTACACAAAGGATAAACTGATATGCGGTGCTGGAGAGATTCAGAGTTTAAAAAAGAGATAAAATCTACCATTAATGGTATGATTGTGTTAAACTTTTTCTAGGGTATCCTTATACCAGGGTCTGGGAACTTAAAATCTGTTTCTGTTTAAAATCTCAATGAAACTAGCATCAGTTTAGGGAGCCAAGATATGTACTCCTATATGAGAAAACAGACACAAAGATTAGAATAGGGATGACTAAACCTTTTCAGGGAAGAGTCAGGATAGCCTCTCTTATCATACTGAAAAACAAAGACAAAGGTATAATTAGAATAATCTTGCTATAGGACTCTGTGTTACCAAGGCAGGAAATTCACCCAGCATAGTTCAAAACAGGAGTGGGCAAATTTTTTTGCAAATAGCCATTTAGTAAATATTTTAGGGTTTGCAGGCCAGATGATCTATGCCTAAACTACTCAAGTCTGACTTTTGAGAAGGCAGCCATAAGTAGTACATACATAAATAGGTGTGGTTATATCTAACAAAGCTTTATTTTAAAATGCTGCTTTAGTCTGTAGGCCCTTAGTAGAGCAGATAAAAGTGCTCATAAGTGATGTCTCACTGGTGAAAAATACATGCCCATCTTTTAATGGGTGGTGTTTGCTCATTTCTGTAGTATAAATACTAGCACTGTGGCTAGTTTTAAACTATCAATGGCTTAAAAATTGATTTGAAAAATTAACAGTCAGCACTTTGAGCTCATTTTGAACAGTTGCAGGACACTACAGAATATGCTCCACTTACAAAGGAGTAAAGAAGCTCATGTCCTGAGCCTTAGTGTTTCAGATTCTGCAATCTTACATTACCTTCCCTGCTTCCAGGTCCTGTCCTTGTGTCTCATATCTACTTCCTGGAGGCACAGGTCAAAAACAATCTGCATGCAAGTGTTTGGCTTAGGCAGAGCTCAACCTCAAGAGTTATAAAACATTTATACTTCATATTCTTTTTAATTCAATGGCTTATTTATGCATATTTCCCTAATATGAGTAGTGCGATTTTGAGCAAGCACCTATGTTATAAACTATTAATTCAAGAAAGGTAGACACCTAGATATCAGTTGATGAATTTATATTATAGATTTATAATAAAAATTACTGTGTATAATGAGGTATTGACGCTCAAAGGAAACAGTACAACAGAGGATATGTTCAGGAGGAGACCAGAGAATGGGCTGAAAGAGAAATAATTATAAAACAAAGAAATGATGAGAAACAAGCTTGGGCTCATTTGGGGATGGATAAAACTCTAGGCCCAACTACTCATTATTAGACCATTTTCATAATGAACCTGTTTCAAAAAAAAAGTCAAAGTGGATATGCACTTGGTGCTAAATGAGTTTAGAAATAAAACAAAGCTGCAAAAGCCTTCTTTTATCCTCTGTCAAATTGAAAAACCAAGTAGGTCTTTGTTCTTGTAATAGTCTATTTGCTTAAATACATAGACGAGTGGCAGGGGAATCATTTAAATGTTTGCAAGCAGTCAACCGCATTAAAGAATCACAAGAAAACAGGCTGAACTCTGTAGTCAAACTGCTAACTTTATTCTAATTAATAACCCTAAATTGTGGAGCTGTTCATGTATTGCTTACATTTGGGATATAGGAATGTTGAAGTTAGAGGCTGGAGTTTGCCATAAAATAAAATAAAACCATCGTGATATGTGAAATTTTTGTTAATCCTTGTACCAGTAAAAGGAGCTTGTACATCTTTTGAGATTTAAAAGATTTTATCATAGGAATAGTGTGTAACAACCAAAATGCTCTTATTTCAGTGATTTCACAGTCCTATCTTCACGTTCATTTAACCTTCACTAATCTGTCAGGAACTCTCACCCTTATTGTTTACCCAGCAATAAATTTCTCCTTAAAGTTTGTTTATAGATGTGAGATGTGAAAATGGTGAATATAGTCTACAGAACACCACTATTTATTTATTTTTATTTTTATTTTTTTTTTATTTTATTTTATTTTTTTTTATGATTTTTTTTTTCCCATTTATTTATTTTATTGCATTTTACATTTTGGGGTACATGTGAAGAACATGCAAAATTGTTGCATAGGAACACACGTGGCAGTGTGATTTGCTGCTTTCCTCCCCATCACCTACATCTGGCATTTCTCCCCTTGCTATCTCTCCTCAGCTCCCCACCCCCCACCATCCCTCCCCTATTTCCCCCCAACTGACCCCAGTGTGTAGTGCTCCCCTCCCTGTGTCCATGTGTTCTCATTGTTCAACACCCGCCTATGAGTGAGAACATGCGGTGTTTGATCTTCTGCTCTTCTGTCAGTTTGCTGAGAATGATGGTTTATGTTAAATCATTCATATTTAGGTAACAAGGTTCAGCTCCTGTCCTCTAGAAACTTACAATTTCTACCCTCATTTTCTCTGGTTTACTTTCCTAGGAGGATCTTGCTGCAAACTTTAGTAAGTGTGGGCTATAATAAAGCAGACAGGAATTTTAAGTTACAAATAGTAATTATCCTAAGCACAGGTAAGATCATCCCACTCCCACTTTTAGAGGGTCTGCCTTATAAGAGTCCCTGAACCACAGTGAGAAATCAATATACATATTTTTGAATAAATTTTGAATAAGTAATTGGGAATCTAAGTAAACAAGAAATTACCCTACAGTGAGAGAAGAGTTTTAACACATGACGAGACGTACATCCCAGCACTTTGCGAGGCCGAGGGAGGCAAATCACGAGGTCAAGAGATCGAGACCTGCCTGGCCAACATGGTAAACCATCGTCTCCACCAAAAATACAAAAATGAGCTGGGCATGGTGGCGTCTATAGTCCCAGCTACTCAGGAGGCTGAGGCAGGAGAATCGCTTGAACCCAAGAGGCGGAGGTTGCAGTGAGACAAGATCAATCACACCACTGCACTCCAGTCTGGGTGACAGAGTAAGATTTCGTCTCAAAAAAGAAAAAAAAAAGTAGCACACTCAAGATCATAGGTTTTTTTATGACTCTTGTTACTGTGCAGTTTCTCTTTTTCCACATCAGGGATGAGCCGATTGAAGTAATTTTATATAGAATTGGTAAATTTTAATAAAGGAGGAGTAAATGTAGATAGAAAGGGTTGAAACACTTAAGTTTTATAAAAAGCAATATTCAATATCTGAAGAAAAAAACTTTACTGTCTTTTATAGACTATGTTGGAGGCATTTGCTTTGTCCGCAAGTCACAACCTTAGCGTTCTTCCATGGAGAAGGCTCGTGGCCAGCTAAATTTGTTCCGCATGATCCTAGGTCTTTGTCCATTAGTTAACTGGGCCAATCAGACTTTTTTCCCCTTGGAATTTGTAATTAGCATTCAAGAATGGTTAGTAAGTCTCCGCAACCTGCTCAAAATGGGATATGTATAGACTGTGGACCATGGAGAGCCATCATCATCCATGTAGACTGTCAAGCCCAGAGAGTGTGTCTACAGGAAGAGAACAAAGAAGATATATAGAGAGAAACAGAGAAAATCAACAGGGAGACAGTGCGGCCTGGGTTTCTGCAGGCTTTCTGACCTTGGGGCTTTCCTGAGGTCTTTTCATGAGTTCTCTGAGATAACACTTCCTTCTTATGTTATAGGTTTACTTGATTTTTATTAATTGCAAATTTGGTTTTTATTCTAAACTATTATAAACAAAATTGCAACTTAAGTTGTTTTGTTTTGCAAATTATCTATTTTGTGCCTTTGCCCAAATGTTACCATTTCAATAAATCCAACTTGATCATTCCGTTGAAAATTTTAATTTTACTCCCTCTGCTGTTATGGGCTGAATTGTGTCCCCTATACCCCAGTTTTTATGTTGATGTCATAATCCCCAGTACTCCAGAATGTTCTGTACTTGGAAATGAGATCTTTAATGAAGTAATTAAGTTAAAATATAGTCATTGAGGTTGGATCCTATTCCAATATAACTGGTGTCCTTGTAAGAAGATATTCGGACACAGAAGGCTACAAAGGGAAGACTATTATGAAGATACAGAAAGAAGGCAGCCATCTGGCTGGGCACAGTAGCTCAAGCCTGTAATCCCGGCACTTTGGGAGGCCAAAGCGGGTGGATCATCTGATGTCAGGAGTGTGAGACAGCCTGGTCAACATAGCAAAACCCCATCTCTACTAAAAATACAAAACTTAGCTGGGCGTGTTGCCGTGTGCCTGCAGCCCCAGCTACTCTATTTGGGAGGCTGAGACAGGACAATTGCTTGAACCCAGGAGGCGGAGGTTGCAGTGAACTGTGATCGCACCACCGCACTCCAGCCTGGATGACAGAGCAAGACTCTTTTTCAAAAAAAGAAAAAAAGAAGAAGAAGGAGGCAGCTAGACAGCTATTTACAAACCTGGGAGTAAGGCCTGGAGCATAGCCTTCCTTACAACCGTGAGAAGAAACCAAGCTAACAACACCTTGATTGTAGACATGTAACCTCCAAAATGCTGAGACAATACACCTTTCTTCTTTAAGCCACTCAGGCTGGTGTATTTTGTCATGGCATCCCTAGCAGGTGAATATACTACCCCCTACGCTGATCTCTCTGACCTGTGTTCTTCTCATTTTTGTCTTTCTCTCCTCACTAGAATGTAAATTCAGGAGGGCAGAGAGTTTTGCCTATTTTGCTCACTGATATTTTTCTCAATGTTTGAACAATGTTCAATATACATATATGCATTAATAAGAATTTGTATTAATACATGATTTTTAAGTGCAGAGAGTAAGTACCACATGAAGAATGGAGATCCTTGTGTAACTCTGGGTAAATCAAGTCAATTTGTAAAAATCTCAATTATGTTTTGTAAAAGTGAAATGTCAGGACTTCTTTAAAACATGAACTACAGAGCATCCTATCATTTTCTGAAAAACATGATATTCAGCTTTTACCTTTCTGCTACTAGAAAGAGTTTCTGGCTTTGTAATGTTAAGTCCTTCAGTGAAATTCTGTGAATTCAAAGGTGTTTCTTCTGCCTTTCTGTGAAGACCCTAGAGAATATTTGTGTTTCTTCTTGCTTTTAGAAATTTATCAATAAGTCTCCTACATAGGATTTGAGGATGAAATGAATATGCTCATAGTTAAATTATCAACTTTATTTGCAAAAATTGATAGTAAGTTAAACATTCTTTTAAGATTTGGTAGGAATTTGTTTTTTCATGAAGAAAACATTTTGAGGCTATTTGTGAAAAGTAAAGACTACTATAGAAAATTCGGTTTTGTAAAATTATGTCATTATAATTTTATTAAGATGTATAAAATCACATCCTCATTGGAGTTCTGTCTTCCTTTTATTCTGTAAATTATCAGGTTCTAATAATTGATTCTGTAAGTTATCAGGCATTCTTTTTAACTTAATCCAAGCCCCATTTTGGAAGAAGTAACAACTTGTGTTGCAAGTTTAGTTCAAATTTTATTATTCATTTTATCCTTGACCTCGGTGGTTAAAACTATTAAGTAAAGTAATGCTAATTGTGGTGGTGTTTTTTGATTTAGACACTTGTCCACTAGGAATTGGACTGAGACCAATTCATTTCATTCCAGCCACTGAACAGACATCAAGCTGTAATGATTTTTGGTCACTGTTCAAGAGTTTACATTAATATAAAGGGCACACAGGGTAAAACTCAATCATAAATACCACCCTATACATTTAGGTGGACGTTTATGTACTAAACTGTGTGAAGTAATGGTGAAAATTATGAATACATACGTTTTACTATTTTGCAACTGAGTATGAAACATCACTATGAATTTTGTTCTGATTTTTTTTCATTATATAAAATAAGACAGGGCATTTAAAATTTTTACAAAGAACTAAGAAAGAAATTACTTGTCTCAATCCACTAATTATTTGATTGCCTAACATTCCTCAAATATTACAGAGGAAATACATAACATATGAAAATGAGTAAGGCATGATCTTGGCCCTGAGGAGATTTATGGCTTAGTATAAGAAATGAGAAAAGTAAATGGATAATAAATGGCAGATTTAAGATAATGGAATAACACTTTTTGAGCACTCACCTGTTCCAGGCAGTCTTCTAAGAGCTTTATATGTGTTATGCCAATGGAAATTTTAAGCAGACATTGAGGTATGCATTGTTTGATAGTTAAGGAAACAAAGTCACAGAACATTGAAGCAACTTTGAGAGGTCATGAAGTTAGTAAGTAAATATGTTGGCATTTGAACTCACAATTTTGGCCGCTGAATCACGTGCTTAACCTCTGTAATTTGCCTTTAGGGTAAGTTCCTTAAGAACAATGTAAAACCAAAATGAAATGAAAACCCTGCAATCTTGTGTAATAATTCACATAAGGCAGAGATCACATCTGTGTTGAGGAATCCCAGAACACTTCTTGGGAAGGATGCATTTGGAGGGGTCCTTAAGACATTTGAATATGTGGAAATCTAGATGAGACATTATCTTCAGTAGAGAGGCTACGTCTTAGACTGCCTGGTTTATCACCAAATCTTCCTGTGTACAGAGGCAGACTAACCTTTCTCATCCTCCAGTGTAAACAGGTGCACTCATGTGACTGAGTTCTACCTAAAGAGTGTATATTGTATAAACATTGTAATGCATATAATGTATACTGTATCTATAGTAGAAATGCTATAAGGTCTGAAGATTTCTAGGCCAGGCCTATAAAATTTCTCATGTACGATTTTTTTCCTGCCTTTCCCCCTTATTGCAGATGATCCACAGATCTTAGATGAAAATGGTAGACCACATTCACAATATGAAAGAGAAGCTGATCCTTAAGTCACAACTTGAAGGTGAGTCAACTGCATACTAAAAAACCCATTTTAGCCATTTTTGAATGAGAATAAATGCTTACTGTGGTCAGCTACTGATATTTTGACACTTGCGGACTATAACAGTCAGCCTGCCTTCACTTATATAGGAAATATAAGAAGCAGAGTGTCATATAAGGAGAATAAATTAAATTTGCCTGTCATCAGTGGTTGGGAAGTGTAATTTGAGGTTTTAAGACGCCAATATAAGAGACTAAAATTGCATATGGCAAAACTATCCTAGAAATTCCCTATACAGTTCAGCATATACGACATAGCACAATGTAAAATAACATTTACATAGCTGAGTATTTAGAGACCTATAGATAATTGTATCAGTCCTTCTCACTCTTGAATTGTTAATGTTTTTCTAGTGTCAATTAATTATTCAACTTCTTCCTTTAGGGTATTGATGAAACCATTACCACTTATTTGTCTGCCCACCTGAACCATATGTTCTACTTCTTTAATGGAGAAGAAACATAATCTTTCTAAAGTGTTTGGCAAGGAGTGTTGGTTATTTCAGCCTAGGTTTCTTCCATTGCCTGAGGCATGTTACATAATGTGATTTCATGGAATTGAGAGGCAGTTAATATTCTTAGAAAGAACACAGGCTTTATCAGCAGAGAACTTGGGTTTGAATTCTCGCTTTTACATCATTCTAGTTATGCTGTGGACCTTGAACAATTTACTTTTTAGAACTTCTATATTCCAATTAGGAAACTGGAGATAAACATATAGACATTAAAATTTTGTCCCAAAGCTGTGTTTATCTAGAATAACTAACATTTGTGGAGCATTTATCATGCTGCATTTTCTAAATCAATTGCTCTGTTATATTTTCTATATTTTCAGGTTTCTGTGCTTTATAAACATTGTTGGTTTTGGTCTGAGCATGTCATGCATTCTGTTAAGTATATATAGAATTCCCAACTCAGGAATAGACAGCATTTTGGTTTATTTTATTTTCTTCGTCTCTTTTAAAATTTTTTTATCTTATTTATTTATTTATTGAAGACAGAGTCTTGGTCTGTCACCCAAGGTGGAGTGCAGTGGCATGACCTAGGTTCACTGCAACCTCCACCTCCTGGTTTCAAGAGATTCTTCTGCCTCAGCCTCCCAAGTAGCTGGGATTATAGGCATGTGCCGCCATGCTGGACTAATTTTTTATTTTTAGTAGAGACAAGGTTTCACCATGTTGGCCAGGCTGGTCTGGAACTCCTGACCTCAGGTGATCCTACTGCCTCAGACTCCCAAAGCTCTGAGATTCCAGTGTGAGCGACCTCACCTGGCCCCTTCTTCTCTTTTTTTCCTTATTCATTCTCCCATTTACCATTATGCTTACATTCAGTACATCTTTAATTCCATTTACTCCATTTCTGTTGAGGTTAATCAATTACACAAAAATGATCCTTCTAAACTAATATGTAAATTACCAATATTTTTAAACTTTGTATTTATAGCAACCTTACTATCTACTTAAGGAAGGTGCTGTAAACTTCATTTGACAGAGAGAGTAAATGACTTGTCTTATGTTTCACATTATTTGATGACAAAACTAGGACTAAAAAAAAAACTATTAACAATTATGGAGTACTTATAGTTTGTCTAACACTATTCATATATTAACTAATTTCCTGCTCATAGTACTTCTGTGAGTTAAGTGCTATTATTATCACCAAGTTCTATGCAAGGAAAAGGAGGCACAGGGATGTCTGAGTAGTGTGCCAAGGTCAGCATAACTACTAAGTGGCTGATATGTATTTGAACCCAAATGTTTGCATGTCTAAACCATTCTAGGATGCAGATTTTCTTAAAGTATGTATGGTGTTTGGTACAGTGACTGATATGTGATATCAGTAAATAAAAGACATTGTTATTGGAATATTCAGGAATCTGAGGAAGTCAACATAACCAAATCATCCTGTTATTGTACAACAGTAGTATATTTAGCTAGTAAGGCACAGCAGGCACATACATTGATGTTGTTAAATGCTATGTCTTGCGTCTACATGCTTAAACATCAAACATTATTATTGTTTCATTTTTAAAAGCATGAAGTTTAAAAAGTGAACAAATAATGTAACAGTCTTCAATTCTAGGACTACCCTTAAAATTTTAAAAATAATATAATCCCCATGTGGACATTTATTGGAAAATTTTGTCTTTCACTGTGATAAGATACATTTCAGCTTTTAGAAAAAGTATATATGACAGTACCAGCAAAAATAGATGATTAAATCATTAAATTTAAAATTCTGATATGATAATTTTTGGCTTTATACTGAATGTTTAAGAATCTGTAACTTTATAATATATACCGGTCTAGTGAGATTATTTTAGACAGCTATATACGTTATCTGTTGGTAGGCAGGAACAATTTTTCTTTAACATTATGTCTACCTTTCGGAGCTTTGGTTAATGCCTGAAATGTATCAGAAAACATAATTATCACTGTTGTATTTATTATTTCTAAGAATAAATAAACTCACCTAAAAAGTTAAAGTATATCATTTTCTAGCCAGCACTGTGGTCTCAACCTGGGGCTTGAAAATAGGTTGTGTTCCGTCTCCCTCTCATATATTTATAAGAAACATAAGCTCTGCAGCTGGAAATCAGCTGACAAATTTGATTATGATCCTATAGTAGTAGTTCTGTAGAAACACAGCAATGAGTCTTGCCACAGAGCCAATTATCTTGATTATGAACGTGCTATTTTTAAAAACGTGACCTTTGTAATTCCTTTATAGATGATCTATATTCTGTTTATTCATGAGTAATAATTAAATTTTTCTGCAATTATTTAGATATGCATATAAATGAACTATGTTTTACATTAATATACCCAAATTAAATCAAATTCTATATTTACACATAATCTTAGTCTCCTATCTTGCATTAACGTTTGTTACTGAAAAGCCATACTTTTTAACAACTTGTCATTTAACTAATGGGATGATTAGTTATGGGCCAAAGGGAAGGTTTAAAGAGAAATTGAATAGCTTTTTGCTTCAATAAAATATAATTTAAATCTTTAATGTTTATTATGATGAAAGCACTAAGGTTAGAAGTGACTCCACAATATTCATATGAGTTATGCTTATTGGTTGCAATCTGGTGGGAAAGTAGATTAGAAGACTAGTTTTGGCAGTTTTTGTATAACAGTTATGCTTTTTATTTAGGTTATAAATTGAGAGGGTTAAAATGGAGAGCAGTGAAGATTACGGAGAGGGCTACAAAGCCAGCTACTTCTGGGCACTACCACAATGAGATGATATAAAAATAATCAAAAGGCTTTTTGTGTGTGTGTTATTTAATCTACTGATGGACACAGATACGTGTATCTAACTCTAAGACTGCTACCATGAGAAGTGTACATTGAATGCCTAGGTTAGCACAAAGGGAACAATTTATTCTGACCTGTGGATTGTAACAGGTGTCAATGAAAAAGTTGTATTTGAGCTGGGTCTTGAAGGATAAATGAGACTTTAAAAGATAGATGGGGTGGCAGGGTGTGGTGGCTCACACCTGTAATTGCAGCACTTTGGGAGGCTTGGTGGGGGATCACCTGTGAGGTCAAGAGTTCGAGACAAGCCTGGCCAACATGATGAAACACCAGCTCTAGTAAAAATACAAAAATTAGCCGAGCGTGGTGGAGTATATCTGTGGTCCCAGCTACTCCAGAAGCTAAGGTGGGAGAATCGCTTGCATCCCGAGTTGGAGGTTGCAGTAAGCTGGGGTGGTACCACTGCACTCCAGCCTAGGCAACAGAGCAAGACTCTATCTTGAAAAAAGATTGGAGTAAAAAAAATGTTCCAAGCAGAGGAACCCTTATCGACAGTTAAGACCAAAAACAGCGGAGAATCAACAGTATCCAAAATGCTGAGAGTCTATTACCAACATAGAGAACAATGTGGGTGAAGTTTGAAGGAAGGTATGAAGTTAACATGTAGAATTAAGAATTCAGAACCAGGAGCATATAATGAGTTTTAAGCAGGTCAGAGTGTGGGCTTGGGGAGAGATACAGGTCCTGAATCATTGGTTAGCTTCACTTATGGTTTGCTTTTAAGAGCTTACAGTGACTAGTTGCAAAATCAGCTTAAGAGAGCCCCCTGCACCTGGAAAAGTCAGGGATAAAATTGAAATAACCAGAGAAGAAAATAAAATCAAACATGTAAAATTTCGTTTCCTTCTATTTTTCCTTTGAGCAGTTGGCTCTTGCTTATTTCATCTCATGATTCCAGTTGCCCCAAAGGAGAACGGGCCATGCAGAGTGAAGTTAAGCACTTTTGTTTCTGTAAGAGAAGAGCAAAGGCAGACCTTGTGGTGGCAGATCAGTGGGTGCTGTTTACCCAGTACCTCCATTCTTACCTGTTAGCTGACTCTTCTCAAGCACTGAGAAAATAGGGTGACATTTGAAGAGCTGTACATTACACATTAAATTGAACATAGCTATATCCTGTTCAAGAACAAATTTCCTTAGTGGGTGAATGGAGAAACACTAGTTACTGAGGTAAACGAAATGAAATTACTGTTTCCATGGAGCCAAAGAAAATGCAAAGTAGAGTGGCAGACACTAAGGATACATTATTTTCATACTTTTGCATAGGATTGGTCTTTCCTTCCTCTTCCCCAGATCAAATCAAGTCATCCTTTGCTATATTCCCTTCCCTCTCTAATGTTACCTTCCTGACCTGTAAGCTCCTAGCCAGAGCCCTTACTTCAACCTCTCTTGAATTGCCTACCCAGATTACTAATCCTCGGTTGATCCCTAGATACAACGCTGACTCTTCTATATCATCTTTTCAAGAACAGAATAGTTATCAACTGAATAGGTATAGATTCTCTTTCATGTGAACAGGTGCTACAAGTGGTTGAATAGATACAGTCCTCTTAGAGATGAGAAGTGGGGAATCAGTTAACTGAGTGTGTGTTTTGGGTGGCTCTCTTCTTTTAAAAGTGTTGCTAGTATAGCATCTGATACATTGTTGAAGCTTAATAAATGTTTATTGCTGTTAATCAAGGCCAGTGACTTCTGTCCATCTTCAAGCTAAGAACCAGGAAAGCCAGTGGTGAAAAGTAGTTTATGAAATGAAATATCCCACAGAGAAAAATGCATAAATTGTCTGACTGGTTTGTAGTGGAGAAATAAACCAGCTGTATATGTGGTGCACAAGAACTAAATAAAAATATTATTTTGAGATTTATTTGGAAATAGCTGTTTCCCAATACTGTGCAGATTGTGGGCCAGATTTTAGCCTGTGTAATTTTGTGAGACAGCTAATCTACAGTGATCAAAACACAGTATTTCAAGACAAAGATTTATTATATTTTTTATAACAGCAACTTATATTGTTAATAAAATCAGTGCAAAATTAGTATATTCTCATCAAGTCACAAATACCATGATGTTGATATAATGAATTATGAAGTTTGAGATCATTATATTAAGAAATGATTTATCTAAACTGACCAAGAGTAGGAAATGATTTGTCTAAACTGACCAACAGTTTATCTAAGCTGACCAAGAGTAGGTAACATACTTTGAAGTGAATATTTATTCC